TGTTGTCCAGTCACTTTGATGCAACAAATATGCGAACATATCAGCTATTTCAAACAAAGGCAAAGTATGAAGGTTTTTTTGCCAAGTTTTTACGTTACACGGATCTACCAGAGTTATCGTCGACTCACTGTGTTTTACAGTACGACGACGATTGTTTGACTCTTGGCGAACATTTAACTCGTTCGCTAACTCAACAAGTTCAAACAGTTTAGCTTTACGAACATTAATATTGCTGCAAGTTATACCACGATCCCGAAGAAATTTGCGGAGTTCTTTTTTGCTTTTCCAATCTATTGATTTACGCATGTGTAAGAATACAGAACTTCAATAAAAACAACCCCACTTAGGCTCGTCATCCGGGTATTTTGGATGCGCCCTCTAGCGGAATTCCATAGAAAACTAACAACTCGAAAATTAGGAATTGTTTGATTCAATTAACAAAAGGAAGAGACGTAATTTATGCTGTAACGTATAAAAATTGTTTTTCCAACTGAAAATGGCCGATGTCAGCCATCTTGAATCGTTAGATTTGTTGTATACAGTAATCCCCTTTAATGTCCATTGCAGCTTTCAAGGCAAAAGTGGTAGGAAGAAAATGGTTCCTGCACGAGAAACGACTGCAACTTGATATTTTCTCTGTCTTTCGTCTTAACAGCTCTATCATAAACTATCAGAGTTCTGGTTTGTCAATCTGGGTGCAGGACAAGTCAGGGCATTGCAAATGTCCCAAACTTAGAATGAATCGAACCTACTTTATCCTAGGAAAATATGATTATCATAAGCAACAGTTTATTGTAACCGAGACAACCATCACAAGGGGATGGAGTAACAAATGGGCAATCACTGCACGTTATCATGCAAGTCTTTGTTGGAAACAAAATCATATAGCCAGTGACGAGGGTTCAGTGCAAAAGCTTACACCAAACGAGGCTAATAAATTCATTATTAAAATACATGAAATTCCTTGAAGAAAACAGATGCCATTTTTAAAAGAGACAAATTGCAGGTTCATCTTTCAGGAATTCTTTGATATAATGGTGCTACATTTGTCTAACAAAATATTTATAACCATTTTTGGCAAGACTTGATTTGACATACTACACCCTTGGTATGCATTGTACTTGAACACAAAGATGTTGATACACGAGTATTTAGATTTGCCCTTGTTGCAAATACTTTTTTAATGTCAACACCAACAACATCGTTGAAATTAGATAAGTATCTCAGAATGCAATTTCAATATCTTTGTATTACCATTTGAAATGTACTATTTTTATACTGCTCAGATTCACGGCCAGTTTGGTGTTCGGTATCTGTTATCTGCTTGCTTGCTTTCATGAAATGTACGTGACCATTTTATATATTGTGCAGCAGGTTTGCATCAATTAAGATAACTATAGTAAGTCTTATTTTATACAAATATTATGCATACTTTTTGCTTTCTGTCATTAATATTTACATCAACAAGTTTTTTTTTTTTACCTTGTGACCTCAAGTCTTCAAATTTAAGGCAGTAAAGTTTTGTAAATCACCAAGGGGACATTCCAAGCTGTATTTTAATACATTGTACACTTGCTTAATAGCATTCAATTAAACTATGCAGGTATTAACTCAAATATACCATTATGAAAATGTTCTGTTCCACAGACTCGACAACATGAATAAGAGTGTTTGTACTTGACAAATGTCCATATTCTTCTCTTCAAGACAATCGCCAATTAACAAAACCCTGAGCTTCCGTTAGACCACAAAATACATTTAGTTTTCACGTACATGAAGTCAAAATTGCATGATTATATACCGGCAATCTCCCATTACTTGCCTAAATCTCGTACATAGTTTTATTTTAAATATTGCTACTACAAAATAATCAGTTAATTTCTCGGACACCCTTTGACCGATCTCATTCAAACTTGGCATACAGACAAAGTACGATGACCTACATATGCTCTTCAATTCTCGTTATGATTCAATTAAATATGGCTGACTGGCAGCCATTTTGTCCCTCAAATTTGCTAAATTCTGATATTTAAACATATCCGGAACTGTTTCTCTGAGCTGAACAGGGTGATTTCAATCAAACTTTGTATGGTGATCATGCATATTGGGTTATAAGTGCACGTCACTTTTTTCGTGATTAAGTCCAAGATGGCCGACTGACGGCCATTTTTTTCTTTCTGTTTTCGTGCTGATTCCTCCATAAGATATGGCCCGATTCAGTTCAAAGTTTGTACATCGATACTATACTTTAAGATGACACAACATGTTTTGTTTTGAGATTTGATCAAATTTGTGGAAATGGCAGCCATTTTGTTTAATATCTTAAAATCAATCTGTAACATGTCCGGAACTGTTTCTCAGGGCTGAAACTTTGTATGATGATCATGTATATTACTCATGCACGTCATTTTTTTTCAAAATTTGGACCAACTGGCGGCCATTTTGTTTTTTCCTCTGAAACATTGTACATAGGTAGTATACTGCAAGGTAACGCAACATGTTTTGTCTTGAGATTTGATCAAATTTATCAAAATGGTGGCCATTTTGTCAAAAAAAACTTAGAATCACATTCTGTAATATGTCCGGAACTGGTTCTTGGAGCTGAACAGGGCGATATGGCCTGATTCAGTTCAAAGTTGAATAGGACATTTTCAATCAAACTTTGTATGATGACCGTTACCCTTCTTTTAAAGTATTGCTACACATAGAAAAAGATGTATAATGTTATCAGATAATACCGTGAAGTATACATAAAGGAAATATTGCCTTGTGGCATTCTTTTATCAAGAGTTGTCAAGTCTCTTGTGAAGTTTGAAATTCAATATTCCCACTAATGAGTAAAAATTTTAAATGTCAAATTACAACCTTTTTGCCATTGTTATGGGTGGAATTTTCACTCTTCGACTGATTTTCAAACATGGGTTCC